AACAATAACCATTACCCAAGAATCAGCTGTGGAGATGCATGTGTTTTGATGTAACCTTTATACATGGTATATGTTCAAATAACCACCGTATTAAGATACAAACTGTTTGTTTAAATTTCTTTGCAAATGTAGCTTTATTTTTCTCCAATTTCTCAGGTAGCAACATATTGGATTTTCCATTACCACTTGTCAAATTCAATTTAAGAAATACTAGCTTTGTAGATGCCCATGAAGTCTTTTTATCCAACACAAGTAATTCAGAGAAAATGTCCATTGACTTTACCAATCCATTATAAGACCAAAGAAAGATCTTCAAAAGTTAGCAAAAGAACTGGACAACCCAAGTGAAAACATTATCATATAATACGAGACTTTCCCAGTGAAAGCCCAGTAGTTCATGATCCTCTTTGTGACTGGGTATACACACCAAGCTGAGATACTCAGATGGTATAAAAGATCTTGCACCCTGATGTTGTAAATCAAATCCATGCTTAATTCTGAAACCGAATGTCATTAATAATGACATAATTGCTTAGGAATAAATATTTAAGGACATTTGGGATAATAGGGGTTAAAAAAAAACAAAAAAAAAAAACAAAACAAAACATAACTACATTACTTAAGGAATAATGTCAATTATCTGGGCTTTGCAAATTGTTCTCACACTCTAAACAAATGCATTGGAATTTGCAGTTTTCAAGCTTGCATAGCCCTTCCCTATTATATGGCTAGCAAATTTCTATGGAGATTTGCTTCTCTCTTTTTTTTGAAAGCCTTAGTCTAAACCTTGATCAGAAGGGGGAGATGGAAAGACCTGTAGTTTCCTCTCTATATCCCTGTGTTTAAATGCCTGAAGCACAAAGTACACACTAACCATTTCCGAAGACATACCCTTAAACTTGTCTATATATCCTAATTTGTTTATCAACAGTTTGTCAAGGTTTACTTCTAGATGATGCCAAATCATGACTTGTCTCTGCATGATTTACACAAAACTGTGTTTCATTTGGGAATTTTCTAGTATAGACAGAAATCAAATGCATAGATTGCTGTTTTCCACTGAAATATAGTATTGATTGTTTGATCTGTATTTCTGGGTGCTACTGAAATGTTAGAGTTAAAATCAATGTGTACCCATTATTTTGGTGGTAGGCACAAGACTGACAAAAGGTGGTGCTCCAAGGTCAATATATTGCTCTTCCTAAGTCTTTTGTTAAAGCATTTATGGAATCAGTGCTAAAATAAAAATTGATCCCCGAAGAAGAAATATTAAATGGTACCAGTTTTAGTCCCAGGTTTTTGTTTGTTTGTTTGTTTGTTTGTTTGTTTGTTTGTTTTTTTTTTTTTTTTTTTTTTTTTTTTTTTTTTTTTTAATAAACCGTGCCACTTTCTTTGTGGTAAATCATAAACAAGTCCACCGTAATGAAATTTACAATTGAAAATGCAATGTTGGTTAATGATTAGAAGCTTTAACCAAAATATATGCTACAAGCTCTCGATTCATTCAATATAGTTATTATCATTGTGTATATATATATATATAGGTCTGCAAATTATTGTACTCGTACACAAGCAATATATCTGCCTAACTTGACAGGGCTAAGCTAGCTATGTATATCAAACCATACAGGATATGTCAAATGAATTGCCTAAACATACATGACAAAACTAGGCTATCCCAACCTATAAGATATAGTTATAAGCATATCCCATAAGGGATATGTCAAACAAATTGTCTAACTACCACAAGACAAACCTGGTTATCCAAATAAGGCAAACATACACCTGAGGATATGTAGAACATAAGCATGTCCAACCAAGCAGGACATGTCAAGCAGAGTGTCAAACCATACAGGACAAATCTGGTTATCTTACAATACACGATAAAGATATTTGTAAGCAGATTTATAATCATACTACATATGTCAAATAAAGTGTTCAACCATACTGAACAACTTCTTTATCCAACCATTCATGATCAATAAATATTAAATAAATATTAACATAACCAACCCTACAGGATATGTCAAATAATTGTCCAACCATACAGGATTAATCCTTGATATATAATTATATATACATACATTCTCTATACAAGCATATCCAAACATACAGGATATGTCAAATAAATTATCCAACCATACAGGATAAACTCAGTTACCAAAGCATAAAGGATATAAAAATTCTGTATCTAAACCTATTCATCCATATAGGTTATGCCAAATAAATTGTCCAACCATGTAAAACAAAACTTGGTTACCCAATCACACGATTAACATATAAATACCCTTATATGAGCATATTCAACCATATAGGATATCTCAAATTAACTGTCCAACTATACAGGACAAACAGGTTACCAAACTGTACCAGATATGTATATGTATATATATTTACCATATACAAGCATGTCCAACCATATAGGATATGGCAAATAATTGTCCAACCATACAGGACAAATTGGTAACCAAACCATACAGGATATATATTGAAGTACAAGCATATCCAACCATATAGGATAGCTAAAAATAATTGTCCAACCATATAGGACATCTTGGTTACCAAACCATACAGGATATATATATACTGTATACACACATATCCAACCATACAGGATATGTCAAATTAATTACAACCATACAGGATATAAATATACTGCGTCCAACCATATAGGACAATATGGTAACCAAACCATTCAATATATATACACTGTATACAAGCATATTCAACCATATAGGATAGCTAAAATTAATTGTCCAACCATATAGGACAAGTTGGTTACCAAACCATACAGGATATATATTGCTGTACAAGCATATCCAACCATATAGGATAGCTAAAAATAATGTGTCCAACCATATAGGACATCTTGGTTACCAAACCATACAGGATATATATATACTGTATACACGCATATCCAACAATACAGGATATGTCAAATTAATTACAACCATACAGGATATAAATATACTGCGTCCAACCATATAGGACAATATGGTAACCAAGCCATTCAATATATATACACTGTATACAAGCATATCCAACCATATAGGATAGCTAAAATTAATTGTCCAACCATATAGGACAAATTGGTTACAAAACCATACAGAAATATTTATACATATACATACTGTGCACAAGCATATCCAACCATATAGGATATATATAGCAAAAATTGTTCAACTATATATGGACTACCTTGGTAACCAAACCATACAGGATATATATACACTGTATACAAGCATATAAAACCATAGAGGATTTCCAGAATTAATTAACCAACCTTTTTTTTTTTTTTTTATTATTATTATTATTATGAGCGTGATGTGGCTAATAAATCACTATTGGCATTTCCAAGTTCCAAAAAAAAACCCAAGCAAAGCATAAATATACAATATGAATACCTTAATATGCTTTATCTGTGTAATTATGCAACCAACCCAATGGCAAATAATGAAATCAAAATAAGCGACTGACTGTAATAGCTACATGATGAACAACAAAGGCAATTTACTCTAGCTACATGCATTTGCAGTGCTAAATTCTTATCGTATACTGACAATCCACAGGCCTTAGTTCTTTAATGAAACCAAAAACATTATATGCACTTGTAACCTACCCAAACTTGACTATATTACACTAAATTGCTATAAATATAAGTATTGAAGTTATACAATCTGCTTACAAGCTTTAAGGTGCTGAAACAACCAACATCCTGTTACTATAATAGTTTGTGTAACCATGTGCTCATTTTTGGTGCACACCATTTTAACAGTTTACTTTATTCTCATTTTCTGATGACCAAAGTCTTTAGTAATGAAAGAAAAAAAAAAAAAAAAAAAAAAAAAAAATATTACATCCTAACCATGATAACCAAATTCTCTGCCTGATTTAGCGTTAAAAAGCCTGTTAATACCAACAACACCTTAACATTGCAGGATTCATGTTCTATTAAGAACCTGTCAGGTTTACTTGGTAGTTTACTATGAAGAATTTGGTATGTTGACATTACACTGAGCACCAAATGACCCCGAATTTTTCTCAGCGAGTAAAACATTCTCAACCCAGTCGTATAACTTAATATCTAGACTACACAAATCATTAGAACCTTATTGTATATACATACTAAATCGGGTTTAATTTTATCAACTTCTGCGAGCCTACGCTACCATATCAATGTAATGCAACCCGAATATCCTCTATACAGAACCTTCTCGCTGAGATATTCAGATAGAAATTGATATTTCACTGTTCTACACAAATCTGCAAACGAACAATAAATCAATATCTTTGAATCAAAACCCTACTCTGCATGAGTGACACAATATAAATACTCACACCTAAGTAAAATTTGTAAACCACATTTTGGAGCCGATATGATATTCTGATAAGGATAAGGCTAATAGCCGTTACTAGAGGACGCTTAAGTATAAAACCCGGAAAACCCTTCGGGACCCATGAATTCAAACAAATTGGTAATTAATAAAAATATGCAATTTATTACGTATTTAGATCACATAAATTCCTTTATATACATAAATACACTTAGGGTACTGTTTTTGTTCGATTTTCATCCAACTACAAGTTTTCAAAATATCCTCAACTATCGTCTCCATCAATTAAACGCATGCCTTTTTTTTTTTTACATATATCAAAACGGTTTGATGATCAAGACTCGTTTCCACTGCTTACTTTAATTATTTCCCGGGAGACAATTGATGGTTGCATCAGTGTTTTCTTGTATTTTATTTATTTCAATTTGCAGAAGTACGTAGTTGAATGATGTGAAAAGTGATAGGATTTAAACTCTAAATCTTCTCAATAGTCATGAATAAAGATTCATAGAATGCCAAATTGTCAAAAAAAGTTTCCCGAGATTTCAAATTTAAACTTCAGCATTTACGTACTAGTATATAAATGGTTCGTGTGAAAGAGGTGTCCACTAGAATTTATAAGGTTGGAGCACCAAACGGCACTTCCAATCCTTATCTGAATTAATCTGATCGAAATTATGTAAGTGTTGTGCAGAAGTTTTACTAAAATGTCCGAGACAGTTAAATTGAAATAAACATATAGCATGATTTCAGTGCTGGCTTGTGTATATGTATCAGGAATTGCCGCAGGATTTGGTAAGTTTATATGTATTTCTTTTCCGGTTAATACACAGAAGGATTGAGTGTAATTACGGTGTCAATGTACAAATGTACATTAGATAAAGACAACCTGGCCTAAATCTAAGAAGGTGAAGATAAAGAACAATTACATGTACGTACTTTATAAATCCCGTAAACAATATAAATGGTGTGAACATAAACACGAAACACGGGACAATATCAAGGGTGTTAGCGGGTATCTCGGAGGGGCTAACATACTATTCCTGCATCAAGTGTCCAAACCCTCTGTTTTGAACAGGGGCCCGTTTCACAAAACTATCTTATGACTAAGATCTGTCTTAAGACCGAAAATTATCGTAAGATTGCACCATAGCCGTTTCACAAAACTGTCATATCTTATGATAATCGTAAGATCTATCATAATCTTAAGACAACTAGATACATGTCTTAAGTCTAAAGTGAAACTTGTGACAATATGTATTTTGGCTAAAAACCGAAGGATATTTAAAGAAAACGGTTTTTAGAGATAGAACATTCCTTTAGACTATATCCGGCCAGTCAGAACAATGACACTCCCACCCCCACCCCACCCCCACCCCCCAAAAAATTGCGAAAAAATATACGATTGAGAAACTAAAATGTACCTACATTATGTATTTCCACTTTATTCATTTCAAGACATTTTCTTTGGTTGTGCTCCCTCCCAACTGATTTGCACACCCCAAAAACCCCAAATGCTTCTTTGGACCATGTGCATTTTTATGGATTTGATAAGTCCTTGGATTTTACTTTAATTTTTCTTGTTACAATGTGGCATACAATATATACATGCTTTTTATATGTTTCTAACTGTAGTGATTTAATTTTAAAATAAACATTTTATTCAGTCGTACAAAATTAGATGAGGTATCCTTATTAATCCAAAGGAATGTGTATGACAATTCAATATGTTGTAATATTTCATGCTGTATGTACTTGCTTTCTTTATGCTTTTTCTTAATAATATTGAAACCCTAAAATTTTGAATAGAATTTTTTCTTTTGTTTCTCTTCTTCATCTGTTAGCATTGTTATTTTGTTGCAGTAGTTGAAGCGTGTCAAAGACACAAAAAAAAAAGTTACGACTAAGACTGAAATTTTACCACACTTTCTTTTTTTAATTTGATAAAAATAATTTTCTAAATAATTAAATCAAATTTATTCATAAAATAATTTTGTAATGTAATAGAAAAATAAGATTTTCGCAGCTTACATGTAAATAATGTTGTAGAATGGGGGAGAAGTTTTGCTCTTAGTTGAAAGATTTTTTGCGAAAAGGGCTAATGCATCGAATAAATTTTATGAACGAACTTTGAACAAAATTTGGTTTTTCAAATGGATTAATTGAAAAAATCTTTCATTATTTGCAAAGCTTCAGATACAGTAGTAGTTTTAATTAAAAGTGATCACATGCATTTTGTCAAAAACTTCTATTTCCCGAGCAAAAAGAAATTTCAGCAAATTTTCTTAATTTTTTTGTGATGAAATTAACTCAAATTTAATTTTGATGACCCCCCCCCTTCCCAACACACACACACAAAGTACATTATCTTTAGTTGATGCAATAAATTTTGTTGTTTTTTTTTTCGAGTGTTTATCAGCAAAACAAAAGTATATGAGACACACATTATTTCAATATTTCAAAGAAAATTTTAGAAAGACCTCGTGAAAACTTTGTTTAAATCCCTTTGATATTGAAGTATGGAATATGCATGTCTTAAGACTTGTCTTAAGATTTCTTATACTTAAGATAGTTTTGTGAAACAGCAGTGACAAATCTTATGATTGTCATAACTCAGATCTTAAGATGATCATAAGATCTATCTTAGGACAAATCTTACGATAGTTTTGTGAAACGCGGCCCAGGTTTACAAAGAAACAAAAAATTGCAATCAATGTTATCAAACAATGGAATAACAAATGGTTTGTTCTTATTTCGCCTTAACTCTTTTTGTAACTTTCAACTCGATATGGAATTATATCGACAAGGTATTATCAATTAAGTATGGTTACTTTCATTCATATGTGGATTCGATATATCTCACTTAAAGACATTGTTGTGTCTGCCACAATTGTTTTATATTCGAATGTTTTACTGACTATAGACGACAAAGTTCAGCTAAGAACAAAATTGTATGACAAATCGAGTTGGCAAGCGGGCGTAGTCAGATCAAACTAGATATTAATATTTTTTAGATCAGTAGAAAATCGATTAATAAAAGAAATGAATACAAATATAAAATATGCTTCAAGTTTTCCTGTTTTACGCCAGTGTGTCTCTTGACAATTAAAACTAACTGCAGTTAGCTTTAGCTTTCCATTCAAGCTTCTAGAAAAAAAAGAACACTTCTCCTAGATGATCAATATATAGGAATCAGGGAGAGCGTTACCGGTGAATTGGCGATGCTGACCCCCTCGTTGCCATCTTATCCCATCTCTTGAATTTCGTGGTATTTATGATTTATACTGTACGAAGTCGACAGACTAGTATTTTTTTCGACAAATTATTCCTAAGCAAGCACTGTTTATTATCTTCACGTGTTTCATATACTGCATGTATTATAGGTTCAGTCATGGAAATTATTGACGAGCATTTCTTCTGTTTCGTTTTTCATTTTATTGAGCTTTTAATTGAAATAGTTTCGTTGTTTTATGCAGATTGGTTAATCACTGCGATGAAATTAATTAAATGAAATTAATGCATGCAGAGATACGCAAATTGGACTAAGAATCTTTGACTTCAAAGCAATTCTATTATTATTACATTAATTGCCTATCACAATCACTCTCAGACATGCGTAACTTGCTCACTCAGTTGATAGACTTAAAAATCAGTAAAACAGGAATGCGATTACTTTTTCAACCTAAAATTGATAATTACAATAGTGTAATAAGACCCTACTCTTTCAAACAAAATAAAGTCGTTTTCAAGAGGTTGTTTCCATCATTTGAAATAAGCTAATGATGATTGTGAAGCCAAGTTTCAACATGATACTAAATATCAATTATAAATATTTACCAAATAATATTTAGTTTCTTGTGGTCAGTGTTTCAGAAACAATGGCCCCTAGTATATAGTATCTTTGTGATAAGTAGCACTCTAGCGGAAATTTACATGTTTATCAAATTCAATGTCTGCCTAATTTTCTTACACCAGTCACGCTAAGAATAGTATCATATGATAATATTTGTCTTTTTTATAATATCAAATTATCGGGCGAATATAATGACGACAAAACTCATTTGATTTGGTAATTTTCTGTTTATGCAGCCAGCAATAAATTGTTCAACTCAACTATAATTAATTAATAATTAATGTTTTAATGAATTTCTTAAATTAAACGTAATTGCTTGACTGCCTCAATGTAAGACTGATAAATTAATGATGCTAGGAGAAGGAAAACGCGAGGGAAAATCAAGATATCTTCTTTGCATAACTAACCAAAACAAAATGATCAGACGAAGTTGCATTCATTTTAGGTAAAAAAAAAACCAAGTATTTATCTCTGTATTTCTTACTTTTTTGGTAGTGTCAGTTACTTTAATGAAATCGGTAGAATATATTCTACGGCTTCCCACTTTGTTTATGTTTATACTTGTTTCCCAAGACTTTGTTTCAGAGAAATGTCATTAATCTATTCCCTAAAACGTGTGAAAGGTTACTGTTTGTAGCGTTTTATTTTGTGTGCCTGTCTGTATTTTGTCTCTGGGTCAAACTTATGAAATTCTTACTTCCACTGATTTTTAATACTTTTTCAGTTATCAGAAAACGATTGTAACTTGGATCCGGGGGGTACTTGTCCAACAATATTTAAATATTGCCAAATGTAGTATCTCCTTGAGTTGGGGAATCCATCTTACGTGAATTTTTGAATTTTTCTATAAATGAGAATGAAATCATCTCATCAAGATTACGGTGTTCAAAGACAGGAATAACACAAATAGAGTAAAATCAAATGTCTGTATGAAATCTGCATGATTCAAGTACAGTATTCAGTTGCCAAAGTCAAGTTATGAGACAGTTACTTCTTGAAATGCAATTTTCGTGAAGCAGTTGCTTACAGTATTTTCTTTTTGATAAATAAAACATGAAAGAAGTAGAATAAATGGAGATAACGAACAGCATAAAATCCCGTGAAAAAATACTAAATAGGAGCAGAGAAAACGGACCTCCGAAACATTAGAAGTGGGAACAGGTGCCATGGAGGAGTGGACATCCTCTGCCGACCTGCCATACACGCCGCATATTCCCTGTCATGATCGGGATATAACAGAAAATCCGTCGATAGTTCAGTGTATAAATTATGGACTAACTATTAGTATGAAAAACGTCAGTCAGCATTTGACTCAATGATATATTATATTTGCTGACAAGGTAATTGTATCGACCATAAAACTTACGAAATGATGACTTTAAACGAGGCTGCTGATATTTTTGTTTCGTCAACCAGTTTGTGAACAATTTACCTCGCTTTAGAAATTGTACGAACGTAGAGCATGATCTTGCGTATCAAATCAACTGAGAGATGTAAACTCCGTATGCAAGTGATGAAGATATGTTGCTGCACGAATTAAAGTCATCACGTATATCATAGAGCTTGGTTGTTATATTACCATAATCGTCTTTTACAAATGAAATATCCAAATATAACAGTTGTGTCAGACTTTGTGGTATCTTTTCTCTCAAGCTCATCGGGGTATATCGTATCGACACAAAAATGAAAATGACCTTTGTTGATTGACAATACGTCAGTATTTCTTAGTTTAAAATGTATCATGTGGATCTGGCTTAAGTGGGGTCATTTTAAAGAAAGTCAATTATTATAACATGAATTGTTGTTTGTTTCAGTTAGAAATTCACCAAGCATCATAGACGTTCAAAAGACATCACAAGTTACTAATGGAAATACACAAAGCACAAGTCATGTCGAGAATTCAACGTCACCACCACTGCTATCTAGTACAATAGAGAATGACGTCACAACTTTTAAATCACACCGTCAGCCTTGTACCCCGGAAGAAATTCAGCGTCAGGCATGTCTAAACAATGGGACCTGCTTTGTGTTGTTGATAGAGGGGCGTTCTACACATTGTCTGTAAGCAGAAACTATAAAACAAACTTCTCTGATTTGATACTTGTGACCGATTTTTTGTTATCAGAATCGCTTGGTTTGATTAAGTGGTGTATTTTTCCTTTTAAATTAGAAATTATTATTTGCAAAGAATATGCTTCAATCTAAATATATTCATCTATAACTAAACTGTTAAAGCATCATTTTTTTGTTGTCGTTTAGTGCCAAATATGAAAAAAATACCCTGCCCAAACTGGTTTCAAAAGCTGAAAGAATACAATGTTTATACAGAAAATACAAAAGTACTAAAATTTTACTTTTATATTAGTATATTTACCTCCACTGAATAATTTCTCCTTTATTTCTTAAGGAAACCCAATGCCATTAATCAGTGCATGAACAACACTAGGCATATCACCTGTAATGATTTCTTGATCAGTGGTTGTTCCATCAATGAAATGTACAAAGACGGACGTATCATTAATACAATAATTAATCTTTTTAATTCTTCTTTAAATGATTATTTAAAAAGATATAAATATAAACAATAAAATTATTTCTTTGGTTGTTAGTGCGGGAAAGAATGTCACAGGTATTGCAGAAAAAAAATTACATAACCCGATCATGTGGTTTATGTATCTTTTTCTGCAACAGCTGCAACATTCACTCCCGTACTAGCAACCAAAGAAAGCATTTTAATTGTTTAAATATATAATTAGTACATAAGTATATACAGAATAGTTTTCTGGACATTATCTGAAAAACAAATGAGACTTTTATGGGAAAATCATCTGATATTTTACTAAAATGATTGTTTCAGATGCCGAACGCATTATTATGGATCCAGATGTTATTTTTATTATCCGTTTTGTAAGTAGATGTATGTTTTTAGATACTGTTAAACATATTATGAGATAGAAGCAGTTATAATGATATTGAACGAATTTATCCATAAACTTAGTGAACAATAGTTTGTTTGTGAATTGACCGTTTATGATCTTACACACGATCATAACAATGTTACCGTATCATTTACTCAAAGCGTTCAAAAATTTTATAAAGTATCGAATATATCCTTTTCAAAGTTTGTAAAGTACTAAAAAGGGGAAAAAATAAACAAACCATGAGTATTATGCATATGGGATGCTTGTAAATCTACAATTAAAACAAAGTCTTTTTGTTAACTTTACAGATATAGACTGACAAAATTAAACTTTAACTGAACCTTTCTAATATGATACCAGATATAGAGTATTTAACTAAATTAAAATCTTTCTTTCTGATATGTTTACATTCTGTAAACAATATGCATTAAACTAAAACCGATTTTTTCTAAAATCTTTTCATATTGTTGACAATGCATATTATATACTAACACAAAATGTTTTTCTGACTTCATTACAGATGTAGACATATCTGGGGTTGGATGACTGTGCCAATACTTTAATTTATGATTAGTATGTCGTTTTTATGATATAAAAAGTTTTAAATAGTTCTTATCTTTGACGTTTTAGTATTTACATCGCTTCTTGTTTCTATTTTTCTCGGCAATATTTCAACATTATAAAAATGTGAGGAATAACTGTCCAATTTGCTTGATTATTATCAAGAAGCCAAAATCTCCGACATTTTTGTCTTAATTTAAGGACCTCCAAAACATTGGAGAACATTATTAGTGATCAGGTGCCACAGAAGAGTGAGCATCCCCTGCCGCACGGTGACACCGAGTGTGTGCTCCTTGTCATGACTGGGAACTTATTTCAACAAATTCTATTAATCAAAGCACTCCTCCATGGCACCTGATCCCGCCTCTGATGTTTTGGAGGTCTGCTTTTTCTCTACTCCTTTTCTGTATTGTTTTATAGACTGAATATTGAACACTGTTCATTATCTCAATATATTTTATCTTTATTTATTCCATAAGTATTAACGACAATCTACATATTGAAACTGATAATAATTATTTGTATTTTTAAAAGATATAACTAAATTAGAAAATGATAAATACTTTCTTTTTATAGACATATTTTACTGAAAGAATAAAAAAAAGGCCATTCTGCCAAGTCATTGAGCACCAAGGGTAGGACTAAGCCTTTTAAAATGGCTTTTTATTGAAAGTTTAAATAAAATTATGTAAAAACCATTTACAATTTGCGATTTTTTAGAAAATGATTGAAAAAATTTTTTACAAGAATTTTCCTAAAAATCTCTATGTAAAAATGATGACATTTTGGCCAGAAGCCCTACCCCCTTGATAAAAATTGAATCTAACTTCACCTTTATGGCATTCTTCCATATATATATGATGAATTTGGCTTTGTCATTCTTAGAAGAAGATCTTTTGTCCTTAAGAAGCCTTTTATATATATTTTATTAAAACAATTTCTGCATTTATTTTAATGCCCTACCTAAAGTTGAAAGGGCGAACAAACTTGAATCTACACTACATTGAATGCTTCCATATAAATATGAGAATTAATGGCTTTGTCATTCTTGAGAAGAAGATTTTTAAAGAATTTTCCTATATATTTCTATGTAGCATGCTGGCCATTTTGGCCCCGCCCTACGGGGACATGAAATGAACAAACTTTTTCACACTGCGCGTGAGCATGCTTCCATATAAATATGATGAATTATGGCTTTGTCGCTTCTTGACGAAGAAGATTTTTAAAGAATTTTCCTATATATTTCTATGTGTGTAGCTTTTGGCCTGCCCTACCCCCGGGAGTCATGATTTGAACAAACTTGAATCTACACTACCTGAGCATGCTTCCATATATATATATGATTTATGGCTTTGTCATTCTTGAGAAGAAGATTTTTAAAGAATTTTCCTATATATTTCTATGTAAAATTTTGGTCGGCCATTTTGGCAAAGCCCTACCCCCAGTGGAGTCATGGAACAAACTTGAATCTACACTACCTGAGCATGCTTCCATATATATATGATGAATTATGGCTTTGTCATTCTTTTGAAAAGAAGATTTTTAAAGAATTTTCACTATATATTTCTATGTAAAATTTTGACATTTCATACAGATTTTGAAAGCAACATTTTGGCATCAAGGTTAACTGATACTGCCTAATTTAAAATGTTTCTACCCCCGGGGGTTTTCATGATTTGTCAACAAACTTGAATCTACACTACCTTTTAGCATTTTTTTCCATATAAATATGATGAATTTTATGGCTTTGTCATTCTTGATAAATATTTTTAAAGAATTATCCTATATATTTTCCTTTTAAAACTTGTGTTTCATTTTGGCCCCGCCCTACCCCTGGGGTCTGATTACAAACTTGTATGTCTACCTACCTGAGCATGTTTCCATATAAATATGATGAATTATGGCTATGTCATTCTTGAGAAGAAGATTTTTAAAGAATTTTCCTATATATTTCAATGTAAAACTTTTTTTTTTTGGCCCCGCCCCACCCCATTGTGTATGAACAAACTTAATCTATACTACCTGAGGAAAAGCAAGTTTCATCTTTCCTGGCACAGTGGTTCTTCAGAAGATTTTTAAAATATAACTAAATTTTCATTAATTCCCATTATCTCCCCTTGAATAAGGGCGTGGCCCTTCATTTGAACAAACTTGAATCCCCTTCACCCAAGGATACTTTGTGGCAAGTTTGGTTGAAATTGGCCCAGCGGTTCTGGAGAAGAAGTCAAAATGTGATTTTCAGACAGACAGACAGACACAGACATCACAATAACTTAACGCCACAAAATGTGATCAAAAAGCTCAATTTGGTTAGCTTTCCTGCACTTTTGATAGAATCATTCTGAAGTCATTCAGAACATATGAACTTTCGCTAAGCGTTTTACAATGATGAGGTATACGGACAATTCCTTAGTAAAATTATTTAAAAACTATTTACAATTTTTACGATATGTGCCAGACAAAATATGAAAAAATAATAACTTACAAGCTTTCAAGGTCACTGAAGAACCAACATAGAATTCAAGAAATGATGACATAAATTTAGATGACAGAAGCTTACCTTCTTATAAAAATTGATCGGATAAGGGGCTTCACCTTTATGGCATTCAATCATACAACTGATGCTTTTAGAGATCCGTGTTTGGGGTTAGGGTAAGATCTTTTGTCCTTAATGACAGCCTTTTATATTTATGTTTCATTAAAACAATTTCTGCATTAAATATTTTAATGACCTAAAGTTGAAAGGGCGAAGAAAAATAGTTTCAATTAAGGACTTTACATTGAATGCGATTCTTTTAAAAGAGTGTTAATTGCGATTAATTCTGAGTCAAGATATCCGTATGATGAAAGGGAATCAGTAAAAAAAAAGTATGTAGCATGCTGCAATATTGATTCGTTCGAAGATGAAATGCAACAGCGAGTTTTTCACACTGCGCGTGAGCCTGTTTGATTGTCCACTCGATAAAGTAAACAGTCTCGCAGTATCTCCCGCGCTTCCTTGACGTGAAGATGACAAAACCCCAGTGTCGTCGTGATTAGCTTTTAGCCTCAACCATCGTGAGAGCAGCAGCTGTCAAGCTACTCCGGGGACTTAATAGACGGATTAGTAAGTTTTGTTATCACCAGTGGACACTGGACAGACTACATAGCAGACTCTCATAGTCGTATAATACAAAGTCCAGCCAGTGGACCACTGGACAAACTACTGATAGGCAGACAGTACCTGCAACTGGATCCGTGCTCAAACCGATGATGATGGAATTAAAGATGGCTTGTGGCAGATTTCTTTTGCTAAAAGCAGATTAATGTGGGAAGTTTAAAGCCAAACATAAAATATCATTGCACTACAAATGAAACCTTAAATCTAAAACAAATATCTGACATTTCATACAGATTTTGAAAGCAACGAAAGTATCGAGTTACATCAAGGTTAATTGATACTATGGGTGGATAAATAACTGATATAAAATGTTTCTACGAAGGACTACGGAACAACTTTTCTGCCTTGTCAACTTCCGTTATAGTGTTTGTATTTTATGAGGTAAGACTTTTTTTTCACAACCATTTTATTGTTGATATTTAAGCTCAATACCGTTAGATATTGTAATGTGAACAATTATCCTTATTATGTTACATTCCTTTTAATTCATTTAATTTAGTTTCACTTACCAATACCTCTTTCACCTGGACTATTACAATTGTATGTCTACCTGATTTGAAGTGTACTCTCGCTTAACTAATGAACAGTATTTCTCTATGACACGTTTTGTATTACTGAAGAGCATGTGTTTTGCTTCACCTCTATACAACGTTTTGTGATAATAACGTTTTTGAACATAACCTCATTGTGTATGATTCAATTACAGCTCTTTACTGGTTTGTACAAAGCAAGCAACATTCACCAGGGTTAATAACTTTTTATTGCGGATGAAAAATCATTTTCCTTTTTCTATCGTTGCTCTGGGCCCGTATTTCTACCTTATGATGGAGGGCTCTGATTTCTATAAAAAAGCAAGGAGGAGAAAGCTCTTGTTAACGGCGACAAACAGCTCCATTTGTCATGATAAAATCATTTCTCATTGCCTTCTTCCTGTCATAGCAGCATCCAAACATCACAATAACTTAACTCCACCAGAAATGAATCAATCGTCTCTAATTTGGTTATTATGCTTTCCTGCACTTTTGATAGAATTACACGTAAATCAATTCGAACACGCAGTTCCTTATTTTCCTGGATATCGTGGATAATATTTACAGATTTGATCGTTTTTCCTTTATGGGATAGTTTTCTTTCTTGGAGAAAGATCAGGAAAAGACTAAGAATCAAAAATGCGAGCATATGGATTTACTCCCAGTCACAATCTCACTTAAAGTAGTAATTCTTGAGGCCGTAACATTATGGTAGTAAACACTCTCCGTATTCCT